TTTGCAACAGAGACTGAACAGCAGTTCCTGTGCAGTCATTCAGACCAACAGCTTCTTGAATTGATGGAAAAGATGCAAAGAATGGAGAGGTCAGCTTTGCAGTGCTGCTCTATCCCTGCACTGGTCACTGAAAAATATACCAGGTTTAGAAACTTGAGTATCTCTGAAAAAAAACCCTACTTTTCCTCATTGATATTGTACTTTACTACACAAGCAAGTATGTAGGCTGTTACTTAGCACAGTATTGCATAGTATAATTATAAAAAGCGTAACTATTGGATATAAAGTGATTCTGGCAAGTATAGCTTTTAAGGCATTAGAAAACATCAACGTAACTGTAGATGGTTTTGCTATTTGCTACCTGTGGATAAGTAAATAACAGGACTTGAGCTGTTTCCCATTATGTTAAAAAATCATTTTCAGCAATACTCACTGTAGTTTAGTTACATTTCTGTGTTTTCAGATGGGACTCTCGTTTTACTACATTGGTACAACTACCTCTTAATTTTCAGTGAGTAACAGATATTTGAGGATATAAACAAGAAAGTATTTCTGGAGCCAACCTTAGCGACAGCTCCTGGCATCTGCTACCTACTTTTGGATAAATTACAAAAGCATAATCAATAGATCAGAGCTCCACTTCTTCACAAAATGCTACATCATTTTTTTATCAAGATACATTCACAAAACAGAAAAATCAAATGTGACTGGATATGGCATCATGTCCTGTGGATCTCCCCAAGAGACACGTGCCACAGCCATTCTGACATCCTGAAATGGCTGACACCTGGCTTAGAAGGCAAAATCTATAAAAAAGGAAAGAGAAAGCAACCTATAGCAAAATCTGTTACTAAACCTGTGGGTGCTTCACCTTCTCTGGGACTTCTGTTTTGAATTTTAAAAAGTTAGGGAAGTGTGTGGTGTCAAGAGTTTGTAATGCTGTTGCAGAAGCATTTTAATTAGTTACTTTTATATTTTTATGAATATAGAAAATGGAGCATTCAAGTACCTAATTAGTCAATAGCTATTTCAGTGAGGCAGCTTGTGCCAGGGAACAGAAGATACTTTTCTCTTTTTCTAAATTCGTTTTCACATCTTTCCAGAAAGCAAAAGTGGAGGGCAAACAGGAAGGGTCTCTAAGTGGAAATACAAAGTTGTGGATATAGACAAGATCTAAATCCACCTCTTTCCCACCTGCTAAAAACAAAACACTAGACGTCTGTTGCTGTGCTGAGTTTTAGTTTAATCCAGTTAAAAACTAATCTATACAAAGTACAGAGCGGGGCTTTTTATTTTTTTTTTCCTACATATATTGCACTGGAGGATATGAATTTGTACATTGACCAAATATTACCCCTTCATCCTCCTACCAAAATCCCAGCCAAGTACAAACCCAAATCTCTGCATCTTTGTCTTGGAACTGGTGTCTGTATGAAGTTACATTCAGTTTTCTTGTAATCACCTCCTAAATGAAAAGCAGAGTAAAGGTGAAAGCACTGGTGCCCATATTCCAGTCCCTCATTTATCTGTGATTACAGCTTTCCACCTCCTCACTTAGGTGTAAGCTTAGTTTAATAATTTTTTTTCAACTTCAAAAAGCTCCTGAGAAATGAGTACCGTGGTAGAAACATGCTTTTAGTGGCTAATACTTTTAGTCTCTTTTATGGAAGAGAGAACCCAATTAAAAGAAGACATTGGCATTGAAAACAACACACACATTAAAAAGCAATGAATCTGCTAAACATTTCAAGTGTAAGCACGACTTCAGCACGTTGCATAATCTCTAAGGCAGATGTTCTTCACAGCGAGAGAACTCTTATTTAAATTACACTTCAGAATTGATCCACAAAAATAGTTTGGTGACTTTATTAAACTCTGATGAAGACCTATTTTAGCCTGGGCCTAAAGAATGATACCCTTCCTTTACAGAGGAGGATGAGATGGACAGTATTGGGTGAATGCTGTCTGTTGATAGCCCAGACCTGACAGACCGTCTTTTGAAAGAACATCCACTCAGTCCCTGCTGTCTTTGTGGACATGTGACACAGGTACCTACGCATATGAGAATTTTGAATTGGGTGGATGAGTATGAAGTTATAATTTGGGTTCTCATCTCAAAAACACTTAGGCAGCAAACCTAAGATGTGTTCAGTAAGAATTCAATCACTTAAGCATTATTGAGGACTGAGGCTCTTACTTCTACATAATTTAGGGCAAATAATCATCAGTTTGACTAAACCTTGATTATTGTTAGAGATAAACCCGACCACCAATTCTAAGGTTTAAAAAACTGCTTGTTTCCACTTCTGAAAAATGAACAGAAAGTCTGTAGCATATTGCTAAACTGTAAGCCTACTAATTAAATTAACACTGACAAGAACAACAAGTAGGGATCAGATAGCAAATGAAGGGAAGATGTGCACTGTTTTACACGGAATGCACCTCAGTGGCTAGTTGAAATGGAAAACAAGGAACTCTTGCTAATGCTAACTCACGGTGAAATGTCAAGTGAAAACTCCGGCTTCTCACAAGTGGCTTCCCCAGAGTCATCACTGACACTCACTACACTGGCATGCAGAAGCTGAATTCAGCACCCAAGTTACAACAGTTCTTTACAAAGCTCTGGATGTTTCAAAGTAAATGGGATAAGGGGGATATAATGCCCATCTCCAACAGCAGGGAGAGTCAGGATCTTACAATCAAAATGTAAGAGGTTGCACTGAAACCAAAGCTTGAGCATTACATTACAAAGCATGCTATTACATATAATGACATTTGTTAGGAGGCAGATGTAGCCTGAAGGAATGATTTGTATGGCAGAAATCTCTTCATACCAAAGGTTTCAGTCCTTGATTTTCTACAAACATCTGTGGCTGTACCATTTGTCCTCTGTAAACTTCCATGTGGGATAGGGAAAACACAAAAAAAATTCCCCTCACCTTTTCCGTGACATCTGAATAATTACCGCTTTGTTTCCCTCCTCGCTCTGTTACTCATTATCAGGCTACAAGCCGAAAGCCAGAGCTGTGCACTGAGAAACTCTGTTAGTCTGGCTGTAGCTGTAACTATGCCTGGGCCTCTTAGCAAACAGATGAAGCTGTTGAAAGGTATTTTAGTCTCCTGACAAAGACATAATCAAACTGATGTTAGAAATGCATGGAAATGACAAACAGTGGAGACACTAGTTTTGGAAACTAAATTTAAAAGGTTAACCACTTGTGTAGAGAACGGGGGGGGGAAGTTAACAAAGTCCAATTGTTTGAGTGGTATAAATGAAGGAAATGTGACATGACAACTAACAAGATGAAACAGATAAGAAAACCTAATCTGTTCCAGCAGTGAGCTCTGTTATATTCTGTGGAGAACAAGAATGTGCTCAGTCCTAATGAAAGAAGCCTTAAACATGGAAGGAATATGCCTAGCTTCATTCAATCAATCAAGGTTCTTCAGAGTGAGAAACTTGCCAAATGTCAATACAAAATGTTAGTAATTGCCTCCTGCCTTTTTTGAGTTTACCTAAAATTTTCAAGTCTTATTCTGAAAGGAACATCTTTCTGTAAGAGACCCTTGCCTCTGTTTCTCTGCTCAAACCCCAAATGATCTCTTTTAATGACACTGTCAATAGTTGGCTACAGAACAGGAAGGAAATGTAAAGGATGCTCACCAAAGCAGGGGTGTGGGGGTGTGTATGTGTACCAGTTCAAAGCCAGCATTATACAATCAGAACAATGCATGTTTAAAAAAAAAAAAAACTCAAACAAAAAAAGCCCACCAAAAAACCAAACACAAAAACCCAAGCAAGCAAAAAACCCCAAACAGGGTATACACTTTAGGATACTTTGTCTGAAATGCATGACAAGCAAGGACAATCATACAACTTTTCGACATTATAGTAAAACCCACAGGAAAATTAACTTATTCTTGTAAAATCTTGGCTTACAATATTAGGGACCTATCCTGGTTCAATACCAAAATAATACAATCAAGTAGCACCCCTGTTTTAGGACACTTCATAAACTTACACTAACTGCTGAAAGACTAGTAAGAGTTAATAGTGAGACTTTTAACAAGTCAAAGATTCATGTCTGAGACGAGCTTTCTGAAGTACGTGGTGCATTTTGAAAAATCTGGTATTATCATAGGAGGTAGGATAACCTGTACAGAAAAAGACAATGAGTCTCGTTCTGTTTTGCACAATATTTCCATCAACATAAAAAGCTTACTTAATAACATGCAAAATTTTGAGATCAGCTGGCACCTGATGAAAGAAACAGGGACAAAAGTACTGTCCCAAGAGCCAGTTGAGTATTCAACTGCTACACAGAATTAATTCCAACAAGGAGGACGGTTCAGATCAATACACCAGAAGTACAGTATTCCTTTTGAAGGCTTACAGTGAAATTCTTAGGCTTCTGTAAACATGAAAAATATTCACTGTTCCACATAATTCTTTGCTGTATTTAGATTTTAGAAAGTGCAAATTTTCTGTGATTAAGGATTAGAAGTCTGATTTTTATTTGGTCTCAAAGAAGAAAGGGTTTGGTAGTGCTGGAAATGGTAGGCCTTTATCTATGGTCTTCATTTCCCCATATTTTGCTTCTCAGCATTTCTGGAAAGAGTTTATACACAATAAAACTAGACCTAACTCGACATTCAGGCCAGTTCCCTGCTTCCTCTCTGAGAAGGTTCCAATCTGTGCCTAAAGAATGGCAGACATCTCCTCCCTTTTTATAAGAGAAGAGTTCAACAGCTCAGTCCCCTGGCCATAAAAACCTTCAGTATTAACAGTTTCCTTAATTCCCTCCTCCATTATAGCCTCTAAAGGATTCCCTTGTTGTGTTTCTCACTGATGCATTACGGAGAAAATTAGTTTAATTTATGATTCAAATTTGATTGATACTTCATCTCTAACATTCCCGATGATTTTATAATCTGGGGAAGAAAGTGGAGAGTTCATGTTGCACTCTGATTTCCTGCCCTCCCCTCCCCCTGCCCCCCAGAGTGGTTAAGGGTGAACTTGATCAGTTCTAGCAGCTGGTTCTTGGACATGTCCTGGTGGTAAAGGCTGGTCACCTCCCGCAGGATGTTTTGGTGCATCTCCAACTTTGTGTTCCCCAGCTGTAAAACACAAATAAAAACATCTATAACTTCTCAATTAAATTGGCCCCAAAAGTGAAAAGTCTCTAAAGGAAAGTTTCCAGTGTAGGGACAATCACACAAAACCTTCTGTTTTTTGGTTTGTAAGTGGAATCAAGAATTCTGTATGTGACTAACAATGACATCAGACTGAGATAACCCAATAGACTGCATTGTTATAATATTCAGAGTTTCCTCTTAGATTACTAGTTGTTTCTGTGAACTATTTTTACTTACATAACACATTGGTTCTTTGGAGATTGTACTTTCTGAAATATATTACGTATTTATGAAACCCTTCATTCCAGTCTGGGAAGCTTGAAGAAAAAAAAAAAAAAGAACAACTTGCTCCTATATTTACTCCTCCCTGCATCAACAATACTTAGAATATTATCCCTTTGGCTACCTTTGAATAATACTAATTTTCATAGTTTGCTGAAGATTTCAAAACTTGCAGCTGCATTTTTGTAATTTTAATTTTTTTTTTTCCTTAAATTACTCTTAGTAGCTCCAGTAGCCTACAGATTAGAAAGATTGTTTGCTTGGATCTCTTTAACTCAGTGAACGAGTAGTGACTAGTTCTGGCAGATATAATGAATTCTTATGACACCTGACTAAATGACTTTGCAAAAACCTTTTACATAAAATAATATGTGTGTTAAAAACAGTATGTGCTACAATATTGCCAGTATCAAAAGGTGTATCATTAGTCCAACTCCCAGGGCATCTGCTATTACACATGATGTTTTTACTGAAGGTGAGGGGAAATGAGGCGCTCAGAACTAAGGATCACAAAACAAAATTACTCACAGGCAGTTCTGAAGCAAATGAAAGACAAAATTAAATTGGTACTGAAATTTCATTATTTCTATTCACAGAACTGAGTGACTTAGGGATAGAATTTCAGGGTACTCCACAAAGTAAGCTGTAATCACTGAATATAGCATTTAAGGTTTGAAATCCCAGTGTTGGCCCTGCAGGAGCAGTTAAGAGCTTCCAGTATTGAAAAGCCTGCCTGGGTATAGTCTGAAATCTTGTGTTTGAGACAAATGTTCTTAAGTTCTTAAGTTCTACTAATAATGTTAGCACATGAACAGTACAGCCATATTAGTTTCAACCTTTCTGGATGGGGAGAAAAAGCTAAGTTAGGATGTATGGGAGAGCAGGGCCCCTTTGAAGCACAAAAGAAACATGGACAACGTGTTATGCATAAGAATTGCTAATACATACCTGACCATTTTGTTGCCACCAATGAGCAAATGCAATGATTTATTATCACACTATTTTCTTCTGAGGGTGCTGAAGCAATTGGTAATTCATATTGTCTAAAACTAACTTGTCATGTCATGTTGTGCCCAACTGCCAGTAAACTGGCCACAGGATAGACTTGTTGAAAGCATTTAAATGCTTTGATTTGTTCTGCAGTCTGAGACTGGTAGAATGTTGGACAGACCCGGTCATTTGTATGTCCCTTTTCTTCTCTGGATGCTCAGAAATCCTAGATATCTTAGATCTCAATATTTTCAGACTGATAGGTACAACACAGTCCTTCTTCTCTGCCCATCGGATGCCTTGAGTTAGAACTCTGTTTTTTACTATGGACTTAAAAGCACTGAGATTTCAGGACTACTTTAGAAGAGTTATACTTCTGTCTTAAAGACAGTTTAGTGAACTTCTCTACAGAGCTCATTAAAACCAGATTACATTAACAGTTTGAACAGAAGATAGAGTTTTAATGACTTGAAGACTGTATTTTAAAGTTTGTGTATCTACACAGAAAGATACATACGGGGCTGGAATTTCAGTTCTCCAGCTGGTCCTGCAGGAGGATTTCCTTGCTGTAGTTTCTTTTGTTCCATCTGTTTAACAACCTGGTGAAAAATCAACACACCACAGTTGAAAATCTTAAATCTGTCAACTTTCTCTGATGTGACATAAATGAATACACTTAAAACAAATTTTGCAATCATTATTTAAAGTCTTTGTCAATGGGTATAATACTGAGTTGAGATGCTTGCATTGTTTGCTGTAATCCTGAATACTAGATTATGTTTTGCTGTGGTACCATTAGTTTAGAATTCAGCTCGGACTCATACGAGAAATCAAGACAAAGAATGCTCCGGAGTTGGGGACTGTCATGAGCTGTCACAGATATAAGCATACAGAAAAGGAAAAAAAAAATATTCTGTTCTCATAAGTGTACCTGCTGGAGCTCTTGTTTCTGAGCCTGAAGCTGGTCGTGCTGCCTCTGTAGCTCTTCCTTCTGCTTCTGAAGATCTTCTGCCTTCTTTCTAAGTTCATCTCCCTGCTGAGAAATATGACTTTCAAATTCCTTCAGCTCATCCTCAGTGAAGAGCTGCTGTTGATCTAGTGTCTGCAAGAAAATACATGCAAACATGAATGCTTAGGCAGGTCATTTTTATTATCTTCACACTGAAATTATTATTATTAGCTGAGTTGTACAGTTCACCAAACAACCCTCAGAATTTTTGTCAAAACACCCACACATGACACTATAAAGAGTTAGTACACTCACTTCAAAAACAGCAAAATAGCTGCTTCTCAGCTATTTTCTCAGCAAAATGCTACTACAGATTTACAGGAAGGAGAAAAAAAACTATTCTTGCTTCTAGCTGAGCTCTTATCTTTCCTTTAAAGTGATTCATAAACAAAATGTCCATTTTCTGTTTGAAAAGCATGCGGGAAAAGCTCTTCTAGAATCCACAGGGTGGCGCAAGACCTTTTCTGTTTGTGTGTGGACCATAAAGATTACATCTGCGTTACATTACCTGCTACATTTTTTACATTACATATAGCTAAGGACCTTAACCACACACATACCAAAACAGGACTGAAAAAAAACAAAGTAGCAAAGCTCAGAGCCATACCATTTGGTTTCCTGGTTAGAGTGATGGTAACAGTACATTATGTTGCACTTGAAACACATTCTCATTACCTCCCAGCTATCTGGCTCCAGAAATTCTTTTTTCTCTGTAGCTCGCAGGAACTCTTCCAAAGTCACTAGCCGGTCCTTGTTGATGTCAACCTAGTTGAAGCAAAAAATTAAACTCAACCTAAATGATGGCTTTTAGTGGAGCTGATGTTTAATTTCATTATGCAAATATTTTCAAATACAACCATTTTATTTTTAAACTGTCCCATTTTCAAGACGGTGCCTGCAACATCTTCTGAAAACTTCTCTCACAAGCTCATATAGGTTAACAAAAATGGAAATAGCAAGTAAATCCTCACTTCAAAATCCATTGGCTTTATTGAAAACACTATTTGCGGTCATAGCCCCAATGCTATTTGGGCATACAGTGGTATGCATGACATTTTTGAGAAAAATGTTTTGTAGCTTTCTGGTAGTAATTTTGTAACTGTGAGTCAGAGTAATCTCCACTGTTGGATAGGGAGGTTTTAAAATATCAAAAAAATCCCAACTGAATTGTATCAGAATCCTTAAGGGGAAGGGAGGAAATGCTTCCCTTTATGACTAAGAGAAGACCAGCCTTGCTCCGTTCCTCAAGCTTAAGGAATATATTTGAATGCAGAAAAGATACGAATGAAAAACACAGTGGTTCAAAACACCATCTTCCCTTTCCTCTGTCTCCTGGGCTGAAAACCTGTCAGAACTAGTAAAGGTATTCACTGTCATAGGTGATACCTTGAGCTCCCCCCTTCTGAAAGGAGAAAGATGATCTACACGAAAGAAGACATTGCTCTACTCCCTTTTCTCACACCTCAATCTTACCAATTTGCCAAGTGCAAAAGCACATTTAGAGTCTTCCCTATTTGACACAAAATTCACAGGGAATTTCTTTTGAATCTCAGTATCTGCAAAAGATGGTAAGGCTACAGCACAATTCTTTCTCTGGAACTTCTTAAATAAAAAGTAGCCAGCAGGCATTTACATCAGAATATGGGGGCAGGGCTTGAGAACTGTAACTTTACATGAATCCCAGCACAAACAGCACTCAGTGTGATAGGCTGTCCCTTTCTGCTGTACTTGGACAACCCTTCATGTTAGGAGGACAGTATTTCTTGAACATAGAAGGAAATCAGCAGCTCTACTGAACATCAGTCCTCACCTCATTCATTACATGTTCTCTCATTCTCAGCCTTTCTTCTTCCATTTCTACCATGTCATCCTCTTCATTTTTGGGATCATAAACTTTTTCTAGCTGAAATTCAAAATTAGCAAATATTAGTTTGGAGAAAGGGCTGGTCATTCAAATAACAGAGCATATTTGGAACAGTAGTGTGAGATGTTGCTAAAAACATGAGTTCACCATTTTTCCCATAGAGTGAGAGTGTGTGTATGTGTAATTCTCCTCTTTTAGCATAGTATTTAAGCAACAAGTGAGCCTTTCATTGCTAAGAAGGCAGTTTTCATTTCATTCACGTGGTCTGTTGTAATTTAGTGCTGTGGACATTACAGTAAAATTGACCTCGGCATGCACGGCCTGATCCTACATTTGATTCAAAGCAGGCAGAGTTTCCACATGGTTTCTGGAACAGGAGAGGGTAACTTTTTGACCAGAACGTGCACCTGACCCTGTAAGTATTCAGGATATCACAAGACAAACTGAGTGCTTAATTTAACGGTCCACTTCTCTTCTTGCACAATGTCTTTCAAGTGAGTTTATGCTTATTTGCTTCTACTCAGTTTTCTTAGTGGTTTAGCTTTGCTTGCTTAGCCATAGGTAATTTTAAGGCCCCAGACTATTTGTTTTTAAACTACAAAACTGCAAAATGGTGGGACTTATCTGTCAAAAAGACTGCTATGTATCTTCATTGTATTAGAGAGGATTACGGCTAAGTATTGTTAGAAATCTGAACTGAATCAAACTGAATTTCTTCAAAAATTTATAGTAGTTTGAATTTACAAGCTTCTATATACACTATATAACACACTTCCTCCCTGACTCATGAAATTTAGAAAAAAATTGTAAGACTAGCTATTGACAGCCATAGTACTGGATCTTTGACTGGGAAGTTTAGGCTTTTTTTTTCTGCTATACCAAAACAGAACTTACTGGAAAAATGAAGACCAAGGCCCTTTGTTTACTTGTTGATTCTGCAATTCCCATCGCTATAGGACTTCAGTACATTGCTACTATTACCCCTTTGGGAGGCAAAGAAATAGTAATACTTGCATTTTCATAGACAACAAACCAAGGCTTCAAGAAACTAAGAGCCTGTCTACTTTATCAGATGTACATGTGCTCCAAACTAGCTAGATACAAAATATATGAAATTTCTGTAGCTGCTCCCAATGTATGTCTTTGAGCTAACTTGCATGAGTGTGACCCTCTTCCTCTCAACAAGCCTTATGACTTTAGATTAGCACTGAATGAGCACAGATCCCCAGCTTCAGAAACTCTACCAAGCTGCATCTAGCCAGAACATGAGTGCAGCTCTCTGCATTGCAATTTATACAGGTATAGTTATCTTGCAGATTAATTACAAAATCTCAAACAAGCCTGTGGCAGAGAAATAGGTGAGCACTAGATCTCTGGTGTCTGAGTCCTATGCTTCATCTGCTTTATTTTCCCTGCTGAGATGTTTTTACACTTTTGTAGAAACATTAACAATGCACAAAACTTGGCATGAACACTCTAATTTGTAGTCCAAAGCTCTCAAATATACTTGGAAAAAACACAGACATCCCTGTAACCATTTACTGAAACAAATTAAGTTTTTGAACTTTTTTTTTCTTTACCTCTTTAGTAAACAGGGCTTCTAATTCTTGTTCATCCAGGAAACCATCATTATTGACATCTACAAAAAGAAGTGTTGAAAATAGAAGCTGAGTATGTACCGAAAGTAATACATGTAATAGTTCTCCAGGAGTTAAGTATCAGCATGCACATCTCATGATGGATTAAAAACCTCATTTAACAAGATGCTTGTTACGTAGGTTTTTTTTTCTGTTTAGGTTTTTAGCAGGCATTGGCTGAACTGTATTGCCACTTTTGGTTCGACAAGGCTGGAGCAATCTCCCTACTTCTTAGATTAGCAAACTGAAATAGGTCACAATGGGATTGCACAGAGTGAAACTGCCAAAAAATATTGCTGAGGAGAACAAGTTGTCCCAATTTAACAGCTAGATTTGTAAACAGACTCAGGAGCAACAAAAATCTGTAGAAAAACTTTGTTAACCAACAGTATGACTCTCCAAAAAAACCTAAAGAACTATGTGGAAATCTATATAAATATGCAGCACTTGAGAAGAGATCATTGTAAAATAACTTTTCATGACAAATGCAAAGTGGAGAATACTTGGTAACAAACAACCCACCTTTTATCCTACATTCTACTCTGAATATTGTTATACTACCTCTGAAACTGAAAGAGAATGTCTCCTTCAAATGAGTGTTACTATGCAATATTTTTGTTTAATTGCTTCAAAGTTTTTTATATACTAAGCTCTAATGCAAAAGGTTGTTTCAGCTATTTATTTTATTTTTGGTGAGATTTGCACAAAAAAGCTACCAAAAACTATCAGAAAATTATCTTTCAAGATCTCTTTCTAGAAAGAAGAAATAAAGTTTAATAACTATAATACATATTTATATATTTTATAAACCAAGGTAAAAGTTCAGACTCAAGCTAGAGCACTTTTCTTCAGTTAAATTATCATCTTTGAGATTAGTCAAATTCTGTGTGCTGTTCAACGCTTCACGGCCTAGTGCCAGGCAGGATCTGCTTAAGGGTACTTTATTATGGAGCATTTAACAACGTCAGGATATAAGGTTAAACATTTATATAATCACATTTAAAGCAAAATGCCCATTGAGATGCATCCTTATCTCTGCTACTATTTTATTGTTTCTAGCTGCACACTGCTCAGAAATATAGAGGCAGGACTGGGGGTCATTTTGGTTTTTGTTTTATTAAGGGAATCTTGCAACATCTGAAGAGGCTTGGCACTTCTATGACCACTCCAAAGATAAGGAGAGTCTGGCACTTATCTGCAGAGATGATGAGAAAGCAGGTTTTCCCACACACACATCTCTGAGCATTCATTCCTAGTTATGTAGTGTGTAAGCAAAGTTATAGTTATGGACAGCCCTCTAAGTATCCATACTTCCCTGAGCAATCACTACAGGTTATTGGCTGTATGATTTTATGAGTAGTCAAACAAAACTCTGTTCTCAACTTTTAAACCCCACTTGAAACTTTGCAGTGAACTTACAAACAATAACATATTTTCTCCCCTATACTCTTCAGATTCATCCAAATTGAGGTGTAAGACTTCATCTTAGCATAACACAAACTTGCCCTCAGCATGAGGTAACAGGAAGTCACTTCACTTGTTCATTAAATTAAACTAAACCTCTTACCGTGTAATTTGAAAAATGTTTTGGGGTCAAATTCATTAGGATCTAGTCCATCTGCTTCTTCCCACACCTCTTTCAGTTGATCTTTGCTTCCCTATAGATTGGTTACAAAGAAAAACTTTTCAAAAAATGATTAAGTGTAATTTTTCTGCATTACCTTTGTATTATAGTTTCTCTGAAAGGATTTATTTTCTGATTAGTCATGTTGCAAATGGAATCAATGTAATTTTCTTTAATTCCCTTTTGGTCAGGTCTAATACATTCACTAGACAGAAAGGCCCAGGGAAAAAGAAAGTGCCAAGGAAATGCATATTCTGTGGAAGGGAATGCCTGCCATCATCAGTCATGGCCACACAGACTCATCTAGAAATAACAGTTGATGGGAGTTAAATTAGTTTGCCTTTTCTAGAGCCAAAGGTGCTGTGACACAGTTCCTTGCAGGTCAGGCATGAAGACATCCCTACAGTTTTGAATACCATTCTGGCTTCTTCCTCATGAGTTTTAGCTTCTTTGTAAATAACAACTCTGCCCGCAAATAGCATACTTGTACACAAAAAATGGGGGTATATGTAGTGGGTTTTGTAATGCTCTCAGCGCTGTTCCCACACTCTGCTCCTATGTCAATGAGAAGCGGCAAATGCTGAGAACAACCAAGATATACCCTTCTCCTCATTAGCTTTTTCTCTCTGGAGAGGAAAGCTTCCACCCAATCATGTAAGATCAGACTGTGGCCTTACAGGATGGTGAACTTTAGGGTGATCTCCATGTTTTTTCTTCATCTCCTCAAATTTGGATTCTTCTCGCTGCCTCTTTTCTTCATCCAGTGTTTTTAAATACTCCCTCCTCTCATGTTCTTTCATCATCTCATATTTTTTAAACTCCTCATGGCGGGTCTTATCATAGTTTTCCAGGTCGCTTGTAGCCTAACAATACAGACATATGTAGACATACGATTATGCCATAGGATTACGTTAACACATATGACATTAAAAACACTGTATTGTTCAGATCTGTGGACAAGGCTGGCCACATAGCCATTCTCCTTTTAAAAACGAGGTAGAGTACTTAGTGGTTTACTTTCATGAGGCAGTGATGCAAAAACATCCCTCCTCACTTTGTTGTTTTCACAGAAATTAATTGGCAAGGGTTCAACTGCTGGACAATTTTTGCAACTACACAGTACTGTAAGGCATCAAGGTGTCCTTTCTCATCAATTAATAATAAATTAACTCAAGTTAAGTCTGTTCCATACTAATCAAGCATAGCTTCAAATTAACTCCTTATTTATTTCAGAATAAGAACATTTGTAGCTTATCCTCCAGTTTAATGAAAAAAGTGTTTTTCAGAGTAACATGTTCATACCTGATATAGATTTATATTTTAATTTTGAGATTCACTGTAGCTTTTAAAAAACAATTCCAAAGCACAGACCCCCTAAAATGCCCATTCTCAACTGAGAAATGAGAAGACAAGAAAAATAATAAGAGAAAGAACTGTCCCACTGAGGATATGCTTCTCCTGGCAAACCAGAATTTTCCCAGAAGTGATGCTCAGAAATGGCAAGAAATTTTATAATCTCTATTTAAAAAAGAATTTTACAGAAATTGAGATAAAATTTTCCAAGGGTAAAAAAAATGCACACAAATGTCAGGAAGCTTAAAATATACCTTAACTTTCCATTTATTTTGAAAATATAAAAACTGCCAAATTCTCATGTCAAACATGCAGTGCTCTCTAAAGCATATGTGAGATTAAAGCCTTTTTTCCCCTTGGAAAGCGTATTTTTTCCAGCAGTTGAAAAAAGCCACGCCATGCTTGGCTTAACTGAATCCCCTTAATAAACATGCACTGAAAAAAAACCCCACGCTTGTGATTGATACCAACTCTGCTAAATGGACATTGAATGCCATGCCCAGCATATGCAATTTCTAATATTGATGTCCTATATTCTACTCTGCTGTAGTTTTGCAGCTTGATGTATATGTAATAGATCCCAAAATTCAAATGACTAGTTTAGGCATGATTTTTTTATGTAATTCTGTGAGACACTTAAATCATTTAGAATTAGAAATCAGAAAATACACTTGGGAAAAATGTACCCCTATCAAAACTACGTTTAATTTAAATGGTCCCAGAAAGGCGTATTTTATTCCAAAAGTTGTTTGTACTGGCACAGGAATGCAAGTCCTGTTAGGATTCCACCTCAGAATTTATGGGCACAATACACACTGACAGCAGTTTTCACGTTGTGAAAAAAGACACTTTTTTCTGAATGACTTTTCTCTGAAAACTGCATGTCACTTATAAAAAAAAAAACGGTGTACTTATAAAAGGATTTGCCTTTACCAGAGAAAAAGCATTATAATTAATACCAAAAACCCCACAGTAGTTTATATCCAGTACTCACTGCTTTGATCAACATATCTAAGTCTTTAGGTTCGAACGTGTCAGGATTCTGATGGTTCAGGTGCTCAAACTGTTTAAGGAGAGCCTGATGGTCTATGCCAGTGTCTGGAAGAACAACATACAAATGTAAAACATTAAAATAAGTTTGAAATCAAGCAAGATCAGGAAGTTAAAAACTTTCATATGGGAGCTTGTGCCTTGTAAGTACTTGAGGCTCTCTGAGGACTGGATAATTTTTTCACTGTCAGAGGAAACTGTAGCAACATTTCTAAAGTTGGTTTTCCTGAAAGAGATTGGCAAACTTGATAGCAATTTGCACTATATTCCTTCTGATGTGTTAGTCTTGCAATGCACACAATAGTATAACATGCACAAATTAAGGCTTATGGCTCAGCAAGGAAATGTACCATCAATTTGAGCTTCACAAAGTAAGAAAAACGTTTTATTCCCTTTTATGTAAATAAGACAGTTGAAGTTACATGCGGTATTAGAGCCAACAACTTGCATCTTTTTCTGGAACTGGGAGAAGCCTGACATATGTTTTGCAAATAACTTATACCTGGCCAAAGATGTTATGTCGATATGGTGTGAAATTATATCAAATCAGATAAGCAGATATTAAAATTTCATTTGTGCAAAACAAGAAGTGCAAGACAGTGAAGAGTCAGGTCCTGTGTTTAAAAGCTGCAAACATTTCTCTCTTCCTTATAACAGGAACTTTCAACAATATCAATACACAATGCTCTAACCACAAAACACATTTCTACAACAGGTTTTTCTAGCTGTTACCATGGTTTCTGACCGCTAATGCTAGATAACAATGCTATCTTAAGCAGCATACACTTTGATATATTATGTATAACAACTTTGACAAGCCTTTACTAGATAGTTTAGCAACAAATGTTTTATTTGTTCAAAAAAATGGGAAAAAAATTTTGAACATGTTATTCTTTGGTTAACTATCTGTCTTACACTCAATGCTGTGTTTGTATTATCACAAAACAGCAAATGCTGTCTGGGGCAAATTTCAACCATCATTCCTCCCCGATGAGATCATAATTTCTGTTGAAATATATGTGCCTTAGCCTGTTTCTGAAACATTTTTTAGAGGTGTAGTAATAGGCTTTTTAAAAAAAAATAAAATCCCAAAACAAAAACAAACCTGCCCTCAAACCCATCTGCCTCAATTTCTTGTATTTATGGGAAAAGACTCATTCTATTTGACAGTATTTACTTGCCGCATTACTGCATTATCTGAGACCCAACACCTAACAGTCTTCTGTCCTGTAGTGATCAGTCTAGTAGGATCTTGGTGTAAATGTTTAAAAACACATCTGGATCAGGACTGAATATATGCAGAATATAATCTCGAGTCTGTTTCTTTTTCTTTTTAAGCCTGATCCATCTGAGAGGGAAGAAAATGAGGGGGGTTGTATGCTTTTTTTGTTTAGATCAGACAGAAGACTAAGATATTAAGTGGTGTTACAGGGAAAAGATTAACAGAACAAATAAAAGGAAATCAAACAGCTCTGCCTGCTGTTACTATAGAATGCTCTTTTGTACAAGTTCCAAGATGTTGCATAGGTGTACAGATAATCTGGCCATATTTGTTTTATGTGGTGTGATGTACTCAATAGTAGGGCTGATTATAAAATTGACAAAATGTTTTCCCACTCCCTTTGTTTTCACATCTTAGAAGTCATCTGAATATCTTCAACTGGAATAATCTGTTCTTGTTCTTTCCTGAATGTGAGATCTCACACTTATACTGTAACAGATCTGATCTGTTGGGAGGAATTATTTTTCTAAAGCATGCTCTGTTAGTTAATCTTGATTTATGGAAGTAGAGAGGGGTAGAAGTAATCAGTCCATTAAGCTATTAAAAAAATGCAAAATACACAAAATTACTATATAAATAATCAGGTACCATTAGCTGCTGTCAACTAGCTCACTGTGAGTGTCAGCATGATGTCACTGGACCGCTTGCCTGCAACAGCAGCATGAGACCAGGCTCTTGGCAGCTAAAAAGCCACCTGAGGAAGATGAACACAGGGTCTGGGAAGTATATGAGGCAATGCAGTGACTCCTGTGGAGGGACTACTGCTGGTCTGCACTGTGTAGCTACCAGTGGACTGTAGTCTCTGGACTAGAACTTTCATTAAAAGAAAGCGAAGGACAGAAATGTGATCTGACACCCTCAGCCACCTCTGTATTATCATTCATTAATTATACTATGTTAGCACCTAAAGACTTCATTGGAAAGGTACTACACCGTAAATATCCTTTTTCCCAAATTAATGTGATGCTTTCCTGACCCTAGTAACATCCCCAGGAACATGTATTTGCACATGCATACTTCTTCAGTCTACCTGCCACCTCTAAATTCGGCTTAGCCTAGAAGACAGATCCTTATTCTTGGAGTATTTCAAATTGATACATTACCTATTCAATTCAGTGGGATGCCTTTCCATAACTTGCAAATATTTTTAATAATAAAATAATCTGCATAGGCAAATTAAGCCCTTTTTATTAGAGCTTCTTTATGAAAAACTGACTTCAGAAACAAGATTGTGCAGTCCATCATTAGGATCTTTATAAGCAATTATCTTCAAAAAGAAACCACTAATAAGAAATTTACAGAATTAGTTCTAAATGCAAATTTCAAAAATTCTTTGGTAATAAGAAATAAAAAGGGATAGCACAATTTCCCACACATAGAGCAATCAGAATCATTAGAAACCTGTATACTTTATTCATTAAAAGAAATTGCCTGAGTTTGCACAATTTCGTTAGCAATTAAGAAAATGCTATGGAGACATTTTTCACTCCAAATGTTTTTCTTTATTCAGGAGCTTAAAACTGCCCCCAAAATAAGAAAAATAATCTTTTGAACTTAAATATTTAATGTTAGTTATAAACCTGTACAATAACTCTAATTGGTGGAAAGGGGACTTAAAAAGAGAGAAAGGAAAATTTTTGTGTTAACTAACTGTAAAAAAACCCATACATTTTCTACACTGTAAAGTCATGAAATGCTATGTCATGATATATTCTTAACATAGTCCTACTATGTTACTAATTCTCAGTGGGTAATCTATAAATTGATGCACTACAAGAGGTTGAAAAAGATTAGAAGTATCTGAAAATCCACTGACAGAATCAAGTTTAGTTATTTATAAAATACAGATGGCTATTCTCTTCTCCCCAGTTTCCTGTAAAGATGGTTCTTTACTGGCCGTAGGCCAGTTCAGAAAGGACACTCACTTTCAGCTTACAGTCGGTATTGTTGAAAACAACCCAAGCATAACTGATGGATTTTGGGCACCTCTCCAACATAATCCCTTCTGTTAACTCACCTGTTTAAATTTTGTACTCTTACCTTGAACAGAATCCATTTTAGCTTTAATTAACATTCTTAATCTTGCCACCTCTTGTCTTTTTAGTTCATCCAGCCGTGTTCTTACATGGTGGCTTACTAAATCAAGCTCTCTGCTTAGTTTTCCACTCTGTCAAAAAAAAAAAGTTATGTATAAAAACTAGAAGAAAGTAGCCTTTAGGATTCCCATTAGACATGAGCTGCAAGACAGCAGACTAGTGGCAGTCTTTGGCAATACCGTAGCCCACATTATAAGAATCTCAAAATTTTTCCAAAGAGTATATTAATTTTTTTTTTAAGCCTATGGTTATAGAAACACAGAGGAATCCCAAAAGCTTTCTGAAAATAGAATTTTTAAGTATTTTGCTCCTTCAAAGAGCAAAAACATGACCTTGAAGCAGCAATACTTAATAATGTTTAAGAAGCGACAAATTTCTTGATCAAATGTTCTCAAATTAGTTCAAAAGAACTGTGAGATGCACAGAAAGCGCTGTGTTCTTCATCCACTTGATGATGGCTGTAAGACTTTAGAGACGGTATGAGCACAGCAACAGCCACCAACGTGTATTACAAGAATATTTATCAGGATCTGGAAATGGATAGTAATCTTCAAGGGTTACGCTAGATGTAGCACAGAAAAAAAAGGAGCCAAAAGCTGCCAACAGCAACATGACGGATTAAAGGAAATGGAAAAGGCAGGATCTCCTCTTTAAGTCTATCACTTTAGACTGTTTCCTACCTGTCCCTTGCTGAATTTCTAGCTCATAAAGGGGAATGCAGAACAGCCACCACCTACAGCCAGGAACTAAAGTAGAAAAGACAAGAATGTGATGAGGTTTTGGAGAGAGTGCTACGTGGAGTGGCGCAAAAGAAAGGACAGCAGCGGAGAAAGCCAGAGGTCTATTTTATTCCTATATACACTGACTTTACCTCTAGCACAACTCCTCAATTTCCCCAGGCTTTAAAATCTGACTTTCTTGTAATTCTCTTCCATGTCATCATATTAATTTGTGACACACTATCTTAATCTCAGAAGGCAGATATACCTCTATGTTCAATGCAGTGTTCCAAATTACTCAGCAGGCAACAGCGAGTGAGAGCTATGCTTGCAGCTGTTTTGATGTACATGAAGGTTCACCTACCTGTATGAAGTCTGAAACTGGCTTTTTAGTAGATAGGCAGAAGGCAGAAACTGTGCATTCAAGTATATATTGTTGGGGTGGTTTTTTATGCTATAGGATATTCTTTAACAAGAACTTCTGCTGTCCCTTGACTAAAGACAAAGATCTAGTAAGAGTTAAATACCTAAGTAAATAAAAATTAGAGGAAATTTAAGATCACAAAAATTGAGAGGAGCATGAAGAAAGAAAAGGAAAAAAATACAACATACGTGGCTCATGATTATGGATTTAATTAACCTTAATTTAACTCTTTTTTTTTTTTTTTTTTTGTACCTACCTTTATTTCCTCTATGTCAGCAGTTTGGAGTTTCTCCCTGAAATGCTTATCTGTTTCCAAGACATCTATTACTTGCCTGAGATATTCATCATAATAAAGTCCTGTATCCTTAAAAAAAAGAATGTGAAATTGAGGAAAGAATATACTACCAAACATTTCATTTTGTTTAAATATGATGATTAAACTCAAATCTCAGCAACACAGGCATTATACTCTCTTACGTATCTTTGGTTTTTATTTGCATCATTGCCCTATAACAACTTATTCTTAGGATTCATTTGTTTCAGCAACTGACAAGGAAGAAGAGAAAAATGTTTAGGAATCCATGTTATGCCCAAGCATCTGTCATGTTAATATAGTTTGTTGGGTTTTTTTTTTTGAACAGTGCAATTCATTCATTACTGCTCTATTTGAAACACTGAACTGGAATCATTGAGTGGAATTTCCTAAGCCACCACTCAGTCGCTTGAAACAAGTCTTTGTGGACCAGTAAGCAGTTCCTCCTATTGTAAACTGGGGAATTCCCTTCATGTGCCACCTCACCTTTAGCAGCTCATGGGAAAAAAAAAAATAAAAGAACAAATTTAAACAGAACCTCACCATAGAAGATCATAGACTGCATGACAGACTGGCTAATAATAGTTTCCTTCCTGCAAGTAAATCCAGTAAAGAACATCTAAACTTCAGGAAGGGAGTTTGCTATAGCCAGATTACTAACAGCTAGGAAAAAATACTTAATTACATAAATTTCATTACACATACCGGGTTTTCTACCTTCTCTCCTTCTACATGGCCTTCTCCTTTGACTTTTGTCTTATCTATGTCTATAGGTACAGCTTCCAAGGCCATTAGGAGACATGTCATGAGCAAAATACACTGTTGAGGCAGGACAGATAGCCACTTCATCTGAAATGAGACCAAGTCACAAAAATTAACATAAATCTGTTATCATACTGTACTGATTAGAATTTTTTTACATTCCTACATAGGTACCTGTAATAACACACTTCCCACATGTTCTACTGCTCTCAAGGAACACTAAAACTCAAAGAATTAAATACAGCTTTAATTTTTAAAGGCTATTATTACACATGCAGATTTCCTCAGATTATATCTTACACTTCTGTGGCAAACCTAAGTTGTACTGTAAACAGTAAGAGGTTTTTAACATGTGGAGGTATTATCAATGGCTCCACAGAGCAGGTGGGAACACCCAACGTTCGTACACTTGTTTAGGATGTCCAAGTCTTGCTTAACTAATACTGACATTCCTACCCTGATCATGTCTTTGCTGAAGTTATTGCCAAACTCCTAAAGATAATCATGGGTAATGAATCAGACCTTACTGTAGTAATGCCAGTAGTTTTCATGTTTCAGCAATGGAGTATTTTGCCTAATTTGGAGTCAGTATCTGCTCCAAAAGTTATTTGCAGGAAAAATATTTTACAACCCAGGTTATACCCACATTTCAAGTTGACAGAGATTTGTTAAAAAAGTGTTGTTGCTGAGGCTGGGGCTTTATAAAGCCACTCTTCCCTAGACTTTCTTTGGTGTCTTATATGGGGCTAACCCGCACATAGTTTCATGAGCACCAAGCTCTATTTTCTCCCCTTCTATCAAATTTGGTTGAAAATAGCTCAATTCATTCAGAAACTGGTAAGATGGAATACTTAAACACTGTGAGTAGCAGAAATTCAGCTAAAAAGTAATGATGGTAATCCAGCATCTGACAACGAAGTCAGGCTTTTGAGACAATTCATCTAATTTAGTCTATGACAGTACACAGTCTCTGGATATTCTATAAAAAGCTTGAGCAAACTCCAATGTTACTTTAGTAACATAAATCACCCCCTGGAAAGCAAAAGTTGCCAGTCAAATACCGTCTAAAATTAGCTTAGATATGTCAAAGAAAAAGACATACTATTCAAGAAATGTGCAGTCAAACAATTCAAAAGTATACCCACTACAAGGAGAATTTCTGTACAAGTGCTTTAACTAGGCATGCAAGTAATTCTATCAAAAGTACTTAGGTGCACCGGCAGCAAATCTTTTTTTCTGGGGGGGGGGTGGGAGGCCCAAATTGTAATTACAGTGTCAGTGCCAGTTTTCCTGACTACATGTTCTAGTACTTGACGGTGAAACATTACTTTTGCTTGGATTAAGCTGCTCCTTTACTCAGGCAATAAATGTAGATAATGGTATGTAGATAATATTAAGCATTGTTAACACCCTTTATTCATATAAGTTTTACGTAAAAGAAATCACTCCTATTAAGAAAAAAAAAGGGAAACAAATAGAAGATGTGCAGAGATAGTCATTCTTTTGCTGGGGATGAGGGAATAGCTGGAGATAAAATATATCCACCTATCCATCTTTTGTTTTACATGTCAAAGGCTCAAAAAGGACAAGAATTCACTGTTTTTCCTTAATCACATCTTCAGCAAGAAGAGCCTAAATGGATTCTGCCCACTTATAGCAAATACCTGTTACTTTCCTTTAAAAAATGACTAACATCCGATCGTTACCAGATGGGATAGCAGGAGCTATTGTTGCTGCCATATTGAGCATATTAGATTCAATGTCAGCAGTACTGTCAGAACCACAACAGCAAGTCTGATTAGCTTTGCCTAGGTCATTCCTTTAAAACCAGCAAACACACAAACAAAAAGAAACCCAAACAGATTTGCTGGAACTAGTAAGTTAATTTCTACACTTCTACACAAGCTGTTGGCCTTTGACTTTTAGAAATGCCGAAGTTCCAATACTTCAGATGTTTTTGATTACAGAATATTTTTGTATAAATGTTGTGCCTAGATTTGTAATTTCAACAGGATTTAATCAAAGGAAATTATAATAACTAACAAATACTAAGTTTTCAAGTCTCCTAATCTTGATGTGGGTGCCAAGACTGAATATTTTTGAGTACTAACTGGATGATTCTATAAACCAAATCACTAAGTTAATGGACTGGCCCAGAAGTTTTCCTTCCTGTCCTCATACTGGATCTTCAGGCCAGGCTAGGTTACTAGGGCAGATCAACAATGCAGCTGGGAAGCCCTGAACTAGAGACATCAGCTGAGTTTGTACCTGTTAGTGGCACAGCTCATTTTATGTATCAGTGCCATGGATGACATTAGTAAATCTATATGTGATGCAGGCCATCAGTTCTTTTAGCTGACAGACAACCACCACCCTCTGTCACTTGATTTTTTTCTGTCTTGCATGGACAAGGTCATCTAATTTTGTCCTCTTTTTTCCAAAAAGTAGATCACCATGTCTGGTGTTAGAGTCATTCTCTGAATGCTGTTGTCTGTTATTTTATCCTTACCAAGGCATTTTGATATACCTGTCAGCTTATGAACACAGCTAGATCTCCATGTATACAACAAATGGAAAGTGGAACCAGCTTAACCTATGCAGGAGGTTGGATAAAAATAGAAAATAATGTTTCTGTAACAGACTACCTATAACATGACCAGCACTCATCATATTTATAGTTCAATATGCGTCCTCAACAACACCTCTGCTCCATAAAAGCAAAGGGCCCTCTCGCTGTGGATCCCATCTGCAGTGACAGGTGCTTAGGGAAGGACATGAGAACAGAATGATTCTCACTGTCACCTCTAGACTACGTCAACCAGAGATTTTTGGCCTTTCTTACGTTCAGGCTGTACCTTTTCTTTACTTCAGTGGATTTTTATTTCAGTACTTTATTCAATTGAATTTTGAACCATAAAAAGTTTGTATCATCTATAACACCCTATAGCAAGTAGTTCCACAGATAACATATGTTGTGTGAACCATCTCTGCTCTGAATCTATCATCTATTTACCTCATTCAATGACCCCCTAAGTTCTTGTATTGGAAGAGATGTAAACAATATATTCTTCATTACCATTTCCATTGTATAGCGCTCCAACAGTGATCATACACCAGTCCTTACTCTTCTAGCCTAAACAGTGCTAGCTTAGCTACCGATTCCTTTTACAGAAGCTTTTCCAGACCTTTGGTCATGCTTCTTAGTCTTCCCTGAATCTTTTCCAGACCTTTAATATCCCATTTGAAATAGAAGAACCTTGGGAGGCCTAGGCTGTGCTACAGATTTTATCAGAGCATTGTTTCTTAACAAGAAAGGTTTATAAATTCTATAGGTAGGACTGAGAATATTTGCAAGGTGGTGGTTCGCTTCCAAAGCAGATTGAGATACAATTGTGAGGAAACCACTGTATTTTCCTTTTCAGGTGAAAAAAACAGCAAAGAAAGTAAAAGTAAAGCAAACACTTAATTCAATATCTGTCAACTAAGTATATTTAAAAAATGAATACAAGACAACGGAACCTCAAAATCTACTTTGAAAGATTCTGGATGAACAGCCTGGGCAATAGCTTCTCTAAACTCAGAGCAACACAGTACAAAAAAATTTACAGGTAAAACAAAAATACACCTTGCTGAAATTCTAGCAGAGTATGAATGGGGCAGTCTAGTGAACTGGTAAGTGAAAGGCCATAAGTATGCAATGGATACAAAACAAAACTAACAAAACCCAAAAGACTTATAAAGTATATGAGTATAACTATACTCTCAGTATTTTTAGAAATGTTATTTTTTAAAAGGTATGTATGTTTGAAGTATTCATTTAAAGAAAATGTAGCTTCAATAATACTAAAAATTTGGACCCCTGATAGACGGATAAATATTCTCCCCACTGAAATATTTTCATATATACAAAATTACAGAAATAAAAGCAAGTTATCATAAGCCACTCTAGTTATGTAAGGTGTATAAACAGTGTTTTTTAAAATCATATGTGGCTATTATTTGAGCATGCTCATTTCACGTAAGACCAACAGGTCATTTCATTAGCTGAACCATGGCAGAGAAGCCAGAAACAAGTGCTAGCCATAGTTATGGCATTGATTCATTCTTTGCCTATGGCAAATACCAAAGCCAACACTTTCCACAATGACACCTGGGCTTTGATCCATTTTAAAGACATAGATAATCTTCTTTAAGCTGCTGACCTACAACTTCTAGTAACATGAATAATTGTGGAGATGGGGATTGTCAGTTTAGACTGAAGGGCGGCATACTGGCATTTTTAGGACTTTTTCCCTTGCTACTCAGGAAAACTGGTAAATAAAATATGCATGCTCAACTGAAACAACTGAGGTATAAGCAACCACATAGGTCTGCCAAACCTCATATGAGGGAGCACTAATCTCCAGCAGATTTGGGATGGGCAACTGGAGCTATATCATCTTAAACTACCTCTGCAGCAGTCAGCAAAACTTATCTATCAAAAGCCCTAATCAAACTAAGTGCCGTTGGGTCTGCTGACTTTATGTGGGATTTGTGCTCCTGGGCAACTTGAGTTCCCTTGGACGTACCAACCTTTGTAATTATGCACTGTCATACATAATGGAAAGGACTGAATGATATCACATTACGTTCTTCATATCTATTTGATGTAATAAGCCACTCTGAAAAGAAAGCCACTAGAAAAGAAACTAACCAGGCAGTTTTGTTTCAGGTTGTGCATAATGTGTTTTTAGTGTAGCCCTTTTGATAAAACAGGCCAAAAAATCCACAAATACCAGGAAGAATTAAAAGCAGAGAAGACCAAAATGAATAAGCAAAAAATATCCCGATCGTTGCAGCTGACTTTGTTGACTACTATGCTCAACACAGGACTTCCAGTAGTATTTTGAGGAACCCAACTGTTTATACAATCTGTGCTATGAGAAATAAATTGGAAATACATTTACTAGAATAAAAAATAATTATCTACTGAAGACAGAGTTACTGTATTTAGGTATCTATTAGTCCAAGACTATACTCATCAAAATTCCCTCAATGAAAGCAGGTGACTAAGACATACATGAACCTTTAGAGTGTGACAGTCACAA